AGACAGTATATACTTTGTGCGGTGCGTTAAAAATGCTTAAATAAATAAAATTAACCATCTATACATATAATAAATCTGTAGAAAAGTCGTGTCTGTAATTCTATTATATTCTTGAAAAATCCAGTTCAGGCGACTAAGTAAAAGGTACTGAAGCCAAATTAATAGTTTTTATGAATTTTTGTCTGTCTGTTATTATTAACCAACATCGGTTAACAATCGATTATTAACAATTAAAATTTTCATGTGTACTTATTTCAACGCTAAGGTTTATAAATAATGAAAAATATATCCAATAGATTATAATAAATTATTTAGATAACATAAAAATGACACACCAAAAATTTTCCATCCACTGAACTCGATCAAGATCGTTTAGTTACTTTACTCACAGTATCACTACGAGCGAGTGAATAGATGGGAAATAAAGTATCGGCCACGTAAGTCTTCGCCCGCTCGGTGCATAAAATACCTAAATTTGCGTAACGCCGAAACTTAAGAGGGCTCTTAAAGTGGCTAATTGATTGTTTTTATGGCATTTCTTAAAATATGTGGAATAAGAAATGTATATAAAAAACAAGTGGTCACTTGTTGCAAGAGCAAGATGCTAATAAGTAACTAAGGAAAATGCGTACCGTCTGCTATTACCCTTAGTTACGTCGCAAAATGAAAAACAAAAGTAAAAAGTTACAGCCTATATACGTCCCACTGCTGGGTACAGGCCTCCCCTCATTTCTGAGAGGGTTTTAGGGCAAGGAAGTGTCCGTCGCGCTGCCCCAATGCGTGTTGGCGATCTTCACATGTCTTCGAAATATATTTTTTCTTATTCCTCAGACATGCAGGTTTCCTCACGAAGTTTTTCTTCGCCGCCGAGCACGTGGTAAATCAGCACTTAAAATTGCAATTAACAATTTCATTAGTGCCGGCGGGGATCGGACTCGGGTTACTCGCGTTCTGTTTTTAGGGAGCGTTAACCATCTGAGCTACTACGGCTTAAATGAAAAAAAAAAAATTAAAAACAAACTCAAGTACAATTATTTATTTTTATATTTTAATACATTTATCTTTTAATTACATAAAACAACCATATTGGGTGTCAGAATTTCACCTTTCAAACTATTGCACATTGTGATGGTTAAACTTTGGTTCGTATTCAAATTGTGATGTGTTCTCACTGCATATATATATATAATAATAAAAATAAAAAATGACATAAATATATATATATATATATATATATATATATATATATATATATATATATATATATATATATATATATAATACAACACTAAACATTGATAACTTTAGCTTATGTAGATTTAAATTTACTACTGTAAATAATAGTCTCTTTATATTTCTAGTTCTCACAGTATTTAAAAACGGAATAGAACGTATTTAGACATGATTAAGATTTATCAATATTTAAAAAAGTTAAAATACAATTTCTTATAGTTAATACAATTAAAACACTTATTACACTGACCTATCAATAGTTTTAAATTTTGACAAACGTCTCTTTATTTTGGTTAAAGGTGTAACAATTCTCGACGAAAAAGTTTTCGGTAATAATTAAGGGATAATTCACACAGAAAATCGACAAATTCGAACTTTGCTTCGTTTCTTTAAACTGTTATCGCTCCTGACACATTTTGCGATGTAGATCCAATAATAGGAATCAACAGCGCAAAAACGCAAAATACAAAATCCACAGAAGTTTTCATAAGTGAGCCCGTACATACAAAAACATCAAGGATTTTATATTTTGTTTTCCAATATCATTTATATATTACTTAGTGTTTTAATTTAAATAGTGTGCGAAGTATTCCTCGTGGGATCCGAAAACAGTTCCGTTGGTATCTTACTTATAGATAAACTTTTGGTCGGTTTTATCAACAAAACTGAATGAGTGCACAACGGTTGGAAGGGAAAACTGTTCAAGATTTACAATTTACGTGATGGAAAATACAAATTACGAATGAATTACTTTCAACATTAAATATTATAAATAATTACTTTGCATGTTTAAACATTAATTTCAGTATAACATATCAATTTATATTTAATAATAAGTAAATAATTAAATTTTTTGTTTCAAGTGACATCACAACTTCCATGTGCACAATACATTTTTTACAACGCGTAGCCCTATCTCCTATGAAATGTACTATTTTAAATATTTAAATTACAACGGTGAAAAACGTGACAAGTTCCTAGGTAACTACTACCCGTATACTACCTACAGCTCCTAACACAATCTCAATACACCTCAATGGAAAAGACATCTTCCATATGGCATGTATCTCAAATAATCCTTACTTTAAGCATTAAAATCATTCATAGTTATGCGAATGGAATAAAAACTAATATAAAGTTTAATACAGTTAAAACTTCATCTTCGTCAACTTTCAGAGTCAACACATTTAATGATAGAGGCCTATTATTAAACAACATGAATGAGATATGTTAACCTTATATATAATTTGGAATCTACATCAATAATAATTCATAAAATTCACAAAATACCATCAAACATATCCAACATCAAATGTAACAATTTCAGGCAACCTAATGCGTTGGACACTTTGGCACAAAAGCCTTTGTACGTTTAAATAAACAAGCTTTTGGTTATATAATAAGAGAGAAACATGCAGAAATACAAAAATAAACAAATTGTGTTAATTACAAAGTGTTGCAGATTCTAAAATGAAAGCGGAAAGTGTATCAAAGTGTCCCGCAAATCACATAATAACTTCATAAGTCGTGGAAGACTTATGGAAAGACATGTAAACGAGTTTTCAAATAATGTTACGAGTTATGGCACAATTATCAATATATAAACTTTTTCACATGAAACCAGCATTCTGTTTACTCGCATGGCGAATTGATAGTTTGATTTCATTGTTTAACATTAGCACACAGACATTTTGATCATTTGCACATACAAACACAGCAACATTTCACTAACAGTAACATTATGTAATATTAATAAATATTTAATACTGGTACAAAGAAATAAATAAAAGTGTTGTTATACCAAACTTATGCTACTAGCTAAAAATTTCTACCGTCGTCCACACTTACACATCTTCAATGTTGCCATATTAATTTAAGTCCATTGCAGCACTAATGCTGGCAACTCTCAATTAGTCAATGCACATTTTTAATGTGTCGGCAACAAATTTCACATTCCAGAAGTGTACACTGTACATTGTATATGCCAATATTTAATAAGTATAGTTATGAAATAAATACATATCGAATCTTTCAAAATGTTTAAAATGTCAATTAATTTTAAAACGCGCCAATTAGTATTCCTTTTAACTATAATTTCCGAATGCTGTTACATATCTACACTTTTAAAAAGTTTCGCTCTGTAAACTACTCTATGCATTTCCAAAAGAAATACCTAATTCAGCATAACTGGCTTTTTTTAAACTTTAAATAAAAATCTTTATCTCTACTATTAAAACTGTCTCTCACTTTATTTATTGTAGAGCTTTTAGCTTCTGCAGAACTCCTTTCCAGGAATTCAAAGTATATTTATCATGTCCAATTGCAGAGTTTTAATAATATTGCTCAACCATAAATGTATACAGTCCAAAATTTTCGTCTATCGCTTCTGATGATTCCCAGGGTAAGAACGGGATAGTTTATCTATCTCCCACCATCACATGTTTATAAATTACCCTCACCATGTTTCTAGAATCTTCCAGAAAGTAGCATTCAGCATACACTTGGTTTTTTTATCACCATTTTGGGATTCAGTATGTTAGGGCATTTTTATTATTATTCTTAATAAATATAAAGTTTATTAGAGTTTGATTTTCAAATCCCATTTTGTTGAATTATCATTTTTAAAAGCATCTTTCTAGTTAGAATGAGTTTCTAGCCATTGAAGTATAGAATGTCTTGCTTATAATCTCTTTTCATGGAAGACTACTTTATATGGCTCAGTGTGTATTTTATTGAAATACAAAAAAAAAATTAGGGTTCACAGTGGTACATAAGTATTGTGGCTATATTGGCACCACTATATTTTAAGAATCATTCAACATTACATTTAACTATATCAATTGATAACTAATTTCATTATAACGACTCTCACACTTTGTGCGAATTTGTAATTAAACATGGCAGTGTATTAATTGAGTGTATTGGTGCCAGGCATTTTTTATAAATAACGTACAAGAATTCTCTCCTTTTCGAAACAATGCTATGAGCAATTCAATGTTCCAAAAGGACTTTCTTTTCAGATCAAATCTATCTGCGTCTCGGTTTCTTTATCAACACGTACTGTGACTATACTGAGGGTCTAAGGATTCATCACAACCCATTTCACATATATATATATATATATTATAGTGCTTTGTTGTGTGCTACGTGAACTCGCTGGCTTGCCATATTCTCTACAACCTAGACAGCTCATCTTAACATGTCCTCTGTGCGAACTCACCAGAGTTTTCAGCCACTATATCGTTCACATCACCTTCCCCATTACCAATGTTGTTAATTAGTAGGGGATTTATCATAACATTCTCCTTTTTTGTCCATGTTCACAACAATTGATTAAATCATTTCCATATTACACAAATTACATCATCTCCCCTTTCTCTTTCCTAGTATTAACATCTGTAAGCTGCATATCGTTTACCACCACTGTGTATTAACAGTCTCTTATAATACCTATGTATTAAAAAAAGCAACTTTCACCTCCACTATATTCACCATGCCCCACAAACCAGTATTGTTGGCCAGCGGGTTTTCATCTCTGTACTGCACACACATTGCAAGCTTCCCATGTTCACAACAGTTTCATCACTGTTGTATTGGACACATGAGAATATTATCACTGTCCATGCACAATCCATTTTCCATTGCCATTTTCGATCACTATATCCCACTTAACTACCACTTAAAGTCCGTTACTCATCACTGTATTCACTATATCCCCTAGCACATTGTCCGCTGCCAATATTTATGACAAGCAGCACCGTCACCAGCTAGTTCTGGTGCGGTGCGTGGTGACCACCAGCGATGCCCAGTGCTCTGGCCCCACGGTGTGCGCAACGCAGGGGCAAGTAGCACCACAGGCACGGTACCAGCAGACTCAGCAGTGTTACACCTATCCATCTGTTAATAATAAAAATTATTATGTACTCCAGTCGTCAACATTACCATTGCAGTCTATCAAATTTCCATTGCTTTTTTTTATAGAATAAGGGTGACAAACGAGCACACAGTCCACCTGATGGTAAGTGGATGCTGTGGCCCATAGACATCTACATTTATCCTCGATTAAGAATCAAAACGCAGATGCATTGTCACACCTGAGGACTAAGATGGAATGCCTCGTTTCCAGTAAAAAAGGGTCTCCGGATCTCTACACTCACCATACGAAACACAGCAGTATTAAGCTGCTATTTTACGCTGGTATTCTGCGAGATCGTGGTCCTTCCCCGGTCGAGCCGACCCATTCGTACTACAACCATAATATAGCTGCAGCGTGGCTCTACCATGTATAATAAATAATTTGATATTAATAATTGCTAAACATAGGCCTCCTTTATGATTGCTTCATAGGGAGAATATTTCCCGTCGTAGCCACGCTGCAAAGAAAGCCAGAAAAGAACCAAAATATTTGGACGAAATTTGAAATGTCGGGATTTTGGGAAAATTGTCGGGAGAAATAATTATTTAAAAAAAATGTAAAATAAGAATTTTATTTTTTAAATTAATAGGGTAGAAAAAGACAACGCTGTTGACACATAACTAATTTAAGTACACTCAATTTTTAGGTTGCCCCATGTATTTGGACTTTACTGAGTCCACCAATTTGGACCCTCTATTTTTACTCAGAAATTCAAGCAATTTTCTTCAAAGTTCAGTCTAATTACTAACACAGCTTTTATTAAATCAAAGGCAGCTGTGATGTGATGAGAAGCTGTTGGTCTGGAAGTCATTTAAAATGTCGGAAAATCACCGAACCAACCATCTGCAGCAACCCTAGTTGGCAACCGCAGTTCCTTAAGGGGATATAGTAAGTCAGCTCAAATTCTAATTTCGCCTCCACTTCCCCGCGCGTCGTATGCTATGTACCGACATGTTTGTAATCACTAATACTGTAAGTAGATAGGTCGTTAGATACTTATTTCATTAGGTTTATCATATTTATGCCTGTTTCTTAACGCCAACCCAGTCGCTTCTTATTTTTATCACGGTTATTTCCCATTTTCATTTTACGTCGTCCAGTTGCGCAATGTGTATTCTGATCGTAAGCGACACAACCTCCCCGTTCAAAGGCCGAAGCGAAACTGACCGAGCGGCAAGAATCAAGCTTCAAGGAGCCGATAGTTTAGGTAATTTCTTTTTTACAGTGAAAATAATGGTATTTTAAAAAAAGTAAATAACATAAGCACTGCTTTATAGTTAGTTCAGTTAGTATGCAAAGTTTCATGATTTTATATAAAGTATTTTATGAATAACAGCGGTTTATTGTTCAGTTTGGAGGCAACTTTGGATTTTTTTTCCTATCGAGACAATTTTACGGAACGTGTTTTCGTCTAACATAGTCCTTTAACATTAATCCTCAACTTTACCACATATTTATTTCAAAATTAATGCTGCAATATTCTTGGCATAACGCAGGTTCTTGCTAAGCCATTTAAGGTTATATTTCCTCTTAATTTTTTTGTTGTTATTAGGAAGACCCTGCTGTCCACCTCCTAGTTTATTTCCTACTGTCGCCTCTTACGACACCCATGGGATGATATGGAGTAGTGGATATTCTTGTACAAATTGTACACGGTTAGCAATTGTCAAATCATTCACCAAATGTGACAATCAAGGCAAATCCTTCCTGTAAAATGGAACTTTTACGGGCTCATAATGAAGAGTGACTAAAGACAATGTTGTAAGCGGTAGAGTCATGCTGCAGCTATATTGTAGCTCAAATGGGTTGGCTAGACCGGGGAAGGACCACATTCACGGTTTACCAGCGTAAAAAATATAGAATACTATAATACACAATAGAATGGCTGTCAACCTTATTGTGTACAAGGTATAGGCATCGCAGGGAGCACACACAAGCAATTACGCCGTATTATCAGTTAATCACTACTACAAACCCGATTCGCTGTGTTGACAGACGGATTTTAATACGTATTTATTTGTAAATAGTGTGCAATTTGGCATTTTCTAAATAATTTGCATGCGAAATTTGGAAACGATTGTAACGTCAAAACACATCTCGTGTTGACATTTATACTTGTGAATTGACATTTTGGAGGCATTTTAGTGGCTACACGGGCTCCGCCCACTCCCCCGTTCTATTATGTATTATAATATTCTATGGTAAAAAAGCAGCATAATGCTGCTATTTCGTATGATGAGTGCAGGGAACCATGAACCAAATGAGGCATTCCATCTTAGCCCTTAGAAGTGATAAGACAACGCATTTGCATTTATTTACAATCGGGTGGACAGTGTGTGATTGTCACCAATTTTATATATAAAAAAAAATTGGTTGTAAAGTTGGTTTCTATCCCTATTTACAAGGCAGTAAAATTTTAGTAAGCGTTTATTTAATCACACGGTACTTTTCCTTCGTATGGCTTTAGTCAGCAATTATATTGTTCCTTTCCATGTTCGTTTTAATTCCATTTTTTAATGATCAGTTGACTCAGAGCCCCGGGTAGTTCGGGCATACTATTATTAGTCATATTTTGGTGTGTGAACTTTTGTAATAAACTTTTAGGTTTATTTGGTGTTTTTTTTAAAAAAAAAAGTCAAACGGGATTGGCCTCCTAACAGGACGATAGTTTAACGTGACAACGTCATAACAAAACATTTGTGTGCTGTCGGTGTCTTTCTTCTCCTCGGACGCACAGGCCAATCGAGTGGAAGAGAGTTAGATGCGGCGCAAGCCGAACGCTCGAGCCGATCGTGCCTTTCGCTCGCTCGTGCAGCGCTCTCGCTCCGATCGTAGCGTTACAATGAGCGTAACGTTACAATGAGTCATCCTTTTCGTGCGTGCAGCCGGCGTTCATCGATTTATTAGACGTTGTCATGTCAAATAAAAACATTACCTTCCACGGCAGGATTTTACCCTGTATTGTGGAGGCTCTTTATAAACATATATGGTACAAGGGAACAATTATTTGTTAGTCATAGAAACACTTGTTACGTGCGGGATTCGAACCCAACTGCAGTATTGAACCGTCAGAATGTAAACTACCCATTTTGGAATTGATGTAAACAAGCTAATCCTATCCAAAGTAGACTAGTTTCGTATTGCCAAACAACAGACTGAAATTCAACTCCTTTTTTATCAGTTTCTTTAAAAAAGTTACCTTTTAGCGCAAGCTTCGTCCGGTTTATTACACGCGCAGGGATGCATCGCAAACTCTCCTTCTGCGTCCGACATACAGTGGTACAGCATACACTGCGAAAGAAAACATGAACTCTTAGCTATTTTATAAAACTAGCAATTTGCCCTCACTTCGCTTGGATAGTATTTATTATTGTGGCGTTAAGATTTAATTTAATCAACTAAGACCATTTAATTTATCGATTTTTCGATTTCTCAAAAATATTTTACAGATGGTAGAGCCACGCTGAAGTTATATTAGTAGTATAGTTGTAGCACGAATGGGTCGGCTCGATCGGGGAAGGACCACGCTCTCACAGAATACCTGAAATACAGCGTAATGCTGCTGTGTTTCGTATGGTGAGTGTAGAGATCCGGAGACTCTTTTTACTGGAAACGAGGCATTCCATCTTAGTCCTCACGGGTGACAACGCATCTGCTGCAGCAACCACTTACCATCAGGTGGACTGTGTGCTCGTTTGCTATCTTATATACCTTTCCTATATTTTTAAAAAATCTCCAAGTATTTAGGATAAAGTATAGCCTAACACTTCCGACTCCTTTATCTGTTCTTGGAAGTTTCATTACGATTGGTTCAGTACGAGAAGTTAACCAGGCCAGACATGCATACAAACAAAACATTTAAAAATGTTTACTCATTTTACAATGGCACGCAAATAGGCCTATCAGTTCAATAAAAGATAGTTGTTTCAATGTTATAGACAAACACTTCAATTTTATTAATGTGTATAGATATATAATAGGTAGATTAAGTATTTAACCATTCAAGCCTAATAAAAATCCCTTGCAGTCGCATGCGCCCGGCAAATCCCGAGCGGTCGCATGCGACCACACCCACCCACAGCACTTAAAACTATTAAAATCTAGAAAATTTCATATTGATTCTATAATGCCAAACTTCTTCATAGAAAAGTAGTCTCTAAATATAAGTTTTTATGGGTTAAAGTGCTGTGGGTGGGCGCGGCCTCATGACACCGCTAGGGATTTGACGGAATATGGATGCGGTCCCGTGAGACCGCTAGGGGTTTGAGAGGTTAACTGGACTCTGCTGAAAATCAGCGCTGCTGCAGTACCTGCGGTAGCATATGCCGAGACGGAATCCTTTTTATATGTAGTAGAGCCACTAGATATTATGGTTGTAGCACGCAAGGATCGGCTCGACCGTGGAAGGATCACGCTCTCAGAATATCAGCGTAAAATAGCAGCTTGATGCTGCTGTGTTTCATATGGTGAGTGTAGAGAACCGGAGACCCTTTTTACTGGAAACGAGGCATTTCATCTTAGTCCTCACGGGTGGCAACACATCTTCATTTTGATTCCTAATCGATGATAAATGTAGATGTCTATGGGCCACAGCAACCACTTACCATCAGGTGGACTATGTGCTCGTTTGTCACCCTATTAAACCAATCCCATAAGGTGGTGTTTAGTGGGTAAAAGTCTACGCAGCCGGCTGCGTGGTATGCTATGAGCATTCAGCACCTCTAACCCCTGCTACCAGAGGGTTGCCCTTATTTGCTTCGGGCGCAAAAAAAAACTATCACACGGAGCTTTGGCCGCTCTCCGGGGAGAACACCTTGACGGCGGAAGATCTCCCCTTTTCCTTCACGGCCACAAAGGCAAATAGCAAATACTTTCTAGAACTGGGGAGAGTACACATGTTCAGTGTTACACGTGGTAAAGACTGCAGCTATACTATGGTTGTAGCACAAACGGATCGGCTCGACCGGGGAAGGGCCACACTTCACACAGAATACCAGCGTAAAATAGCAACTCAATGCTGCTGAGTTTCGTATGGTGAGTGTAGAGATCTGATGAAGACCCTTTTCACTGGAATCGAGGCATTTCAACTTAATCCCAGGGGTGATCGCATTTACATTTTGATTCTTAATCATAGATAGACGTAGATGTCTATGAGCTAATGCCAGTTTTAGTGCTCGACCGACCGTCGGTACGTACCATCGGTCCTGACGATACGCATAACCCATAGTCAGTTTGTAGCGTTCAGAGCTCTCCTGAGCAACTAAACTGGCCGGATTGGTACAGTCACAAACACGTACACGAAATGGACGCGTTTACATATTGTTTAATTGCTGCTTACTATCTTCGTAAACGTATAAGGAACAGAAGACGCAGATATCAGGTTCACCCAATCGTCGCCCAAAGAGCACTTCAAGGGGAATTTACTACTTTATATTCATTATTACGCGAAGATGAAGAATTTTTTAATTACTTTAGAATGTCAATCAAGAGTTTTGATGAATTATCAGTGAAATTACAAGACAACTTAAATAATCCGCGAGGCGTTCGGTGTCGACATATGCCATGTTTGATAAAAATTACTTAAATCACTAACACTACTTAATACCTATAAAATCATACAATATTATTGAAGTTTAGGTTCGATTTTCTTGACGATGATACACGCATCAGTACGGTCGGTGTAGCACTGAACGCGTCAATATGTGCGCGCGTAGCAATATACGCGTGCGTACGGTCGGTCGAGCACTGTAACGACTTGTGAATTTTCATACAAAACGCAAGCGCGACCGACGTACGCACCGACGGTCGGTCGAGCTCTAAAACCGGGCTAAAGCATCCACTTACCATCAGGTGGACTATGAGCTCTCTTGTTAGCCTTATAAAAAAACAGTAGTATACTAAACCGGCTGATACTGAAGAAGAAATATGTAGTACATACCTGTGCACATTTGATGCAAGTGACGCAGTCGATACACGAACGGAAGCAGTCCGGTGCAAATTCACACGCACCAGGCCGGTTCGCACTTTCCAAATACCATTCGTGACAGTGCCTGTAACAATAAATAAAATATATTTTTATAAATTTTACGGAATTTTACGCGATTTTTTTTCATTGCATATTTCTCAAGTGCATTGCAGGCAGCGCACACGGTTATAAGCACTAAGGTGTTCAGCCTAATGCGGGGTTAGCCAAATTAGCTTTTTCTAATTCATAATGATAATAAAAAAAAGTTAAGTAGTAGTGGAGTAAGTGGATACATCGTTTCGTAGGTGTTATAATAGGCTAATATAGGAGACCTTTCAAATAATTCAAGTTATAAATAGAATATACAATTATTTAATATTATATATTATATACAATTATCTAATAGACAACATTATATAATTCTTATACCTTATATCCTGTTAAATATTTCTTCCTCTAATATCTTCTAACAATCAAATTCAACTCGTTTATTGCGAATATAGGTTGATACAGATGGTATTGTCATAGTTTATTACTTAGAGAAAAACAGTACAGCTATATTCCGCCATTTGGCATGCAATATTCATCACATTTTATTAGTTTTATATTAAATTATTTGAACATGCTTTAGTTCTAATTGGAGTTTTAACTGGAGTTCATATTCAAAATTAATAGCAATAAGTCAATTTAGATAATATTATATAAGTCAAGTCAATTTAGTTATACTGAGTCATGTATTAGTCAATTATTGAATTTCATATTTATCTTCGAGATATTCTTTCACACTGTAGTACTAGTAGTACACTGTAGTACTAGTAGTAGTAGTAGTATTAACAAGAAATTGTTTCAATAGTATTTTAAAATTATCTATGTTGAAACATCTCAAAATGTGTGAAAAATCTCAAAATGGGCCACACAAAATACGCTGTTGTTAAATTGGGCTGTTTTAACAACTTTGTACCATCAAGCAATATAAGGGAAACTTGTAATTGGACATACATTTAGTATGTTATTTATTATACATTGCTGTTTAATTATTTCTGTATACGCTGTTGGTTTTATAAATAATAATAATTTATTAAACTTTAACTTTTAGTCCATACAAAAAAAAATCTTACATGAGGCAGCAATAAAATTAGGTAAAAACGCTAGTGAGAGTGACGTTCTTTTCTCCTTGCTAGACTATAAAATAGCCTGTATTAAGGAAATTGAGTCAGGGGGCTAGCCCCCTTACAAAAGTGAACAAAAAAATTGCGTTTAACTTTTTAGTACTACAGATTTTGTGTGTGTGTGTGTGTTTGTGAGCGCGCATGCGTGTAACTTCATAAAATAAATAATAAAATAAAGACGTTGAAGCAAGTTCGTTTGTCCCATAGAATACTATAATACATACATAATAGAACGGGGGAGTGGGCGGAGCCCGTGTAGCCACTGAAATGCCACTAACATGTCAATTCACACGTATAAATGTAAACACGAGATGTGTTTTGAAGTTACAATCGTTTCCAAATTTCGCATGCAAATTATTTAGAAAATTCCAAAGTGCACGCTATTTACAAATAAATTAGAGATGGGCCGAATATTCGTTTTATATTCGGTATTCGGCAGCTTTACCGAATATTCGTATTCGGCCGAATATTCGGCTAAATCACCTAATATTCGTTAAAGTGGTTCTCAAAGTATCCACTGTATAGAAATGTACGAATTTGTTTGTTGAAAGTATATTTATTTATGGGTTAAATGTACTTGTCTAGAGTTATGTTTTTGAGGCACTAGATTTATTTCCAATTATAGCAAATAGCTTGAAAAAGTTTGAAAAAATATTACATTACTCTCAGTTTTTCTAAAATAGTCCAAATAGTAATCTCCTGCCACTCATTTTCATCATATACATATCAAGTTTCACTAAGAATAACGCAACGAAATACTTTTTTCTCACAAAAATAGTCAAAACAGAAACATGTGTCGGCAATTTACTCAGTAATAGATGATGCAATTACATGTCAGGTGTGGCGGGGAGCGAGGGGAAGGGTCCAGCACCAATCCCGCGCGCTTTACGGCAACAAGTCTCTACATAACTTGTTTAGATACCGAGGTAATTGTACCGAATAATGCTCGGCCGAATATTCGGTTCGGTAAAAATTTTACCGAACTTTCGGCCGAATATTCGTATTCGGTGAAATCCATATTCAGCCCAACCCTAAAATAAATATGTATTAAAATTCGTCTGTTAACACAGTGGATCGGGTTTGTAGTAGTGATTAACTGGTAATACGACGTAATTGCTTGTCCTCCTACAAAATAAGGTTGACAGCCATTCTATTGTATATTATAGTATTCTATGGTTTGTCCAATATAATGTTATAAAAGAATGAAAAGAACAAACCTGCATTTCAAGCGCGCTTGAAACGTCTCCGTGGGTTTTTTGTCGGGCAACGGCGGCGGCCCGGGGTAGCTGCACTTTTTTATTGAACCTGTAATTGTTTAACGCATTTTAATATTGTAGCTTAGAGTAAAAGTAACGTATATTATATGTATTTTTATAGAACTTAGAAATTGTAGGTGACAAAGCACACAGTCACACAGTCCACAGTCATGTGATGTGTATGGTGAGTGTAGAGAACCGGAGACCCTTTTTACGAGACGTTCTATCTTAGTTTTCAGGGGTAACAACGCATATGCATATTGATTCAAAATCGAGAATAGATGTAGATGCCTATGGGCCACAGAATCCATTTACCACCAGGTGAAATGTGAACTCGTTTTTCACTCTTATTCAATAAAAATAAGTTCTTTGGGTATAGAAAATAATAATATAGTTATATTATATACTAGAATATGAATGTTTTCTTCCACCGCCGAGAACTTCGTAAAAAAGTACTTATAATTAATAATTTCCTTGGTGCCAGCGGGGATCGAACCCGGGTCTCTCGCGTACTGTAAAATTTAAAGCGAGCGCGTAGCCACTGAGCGGCGTTTAGTCTGTTAATATTTTTATAATTTCACAATCAGTATCACATTACAGATAAGAAATTGAAAACGCGTGCAAGCTCAAAGGAAATTGAATATACAAAGAACGCGGCGACGATGCTATCGCTACATAATGTCCTTCAGACCGAATTTCGGTCATGGAGTCTCAACGGAGGCTAGCCAAAACATGACTAATTTTATAATTTTAAAACATGACTAATTACGGTCCACCACGACAGTTTTTTTTTTTGCACATTATGATAATATATTATGAGAGTCTTTACTACTATTGGAACAGGCAACTTATACTTAAAAACTCATTTCGTTCAAAGATAATAAAAAAAGATACGAATATAGCCATTTTATATTTATCTACAATACCGAAAACGGTGACTATTTTGTCCTGAGTACGAGTACTATTGAGAGACTCCAGTTCATTTGTATACTATTTCAGGAGGAGATCCAATGTTCTTAGATAATGGACGTATATATAATGTCCTCGAGACCGAATTTCGGTCACGGCGGCCAGCCTCAACGGAGGCTAGCCATCGGCGCAGGACAGAATTATAGTGTCCAAGTGTATGTGCAAGCACAGGTACACTCTCTACTCCCTCACTTTCATAATCCGATGGGACGGTAAACCGACACGACCGGAGAGAGATCAGGCGCAGGACCAACGGCTTTACGTGCTTTCCGAGGCACGGGAGTGAAACACCGCCAACTTCCTGACTCCGGGCAGCTGAGAATTTCTTGACAGAAAACCCAAAACTGATTTTGGACCCGAACGAGAATTCGAACCAAGGACGTCATGTACAGTAATCGTGTTTACGATCACTAGAGCTACGTGGCACTCGGGCGGAGTAGACTGGCAGCGATCACCGAATGGTTAGAGGCACACTGAACCTAAACGTTAAGTTGAAGAGGTCTCGTCTAATGAAGTCAACGCTCCATCCCCCGAGTGCTCTAAATCCAGAATCCCGAAACCTTTCAGCACGAGTAACATAACCATTGTAAGTACCTAGAAGATTGCAATGCTATCTAGTAATGAAGGTAAACGTTAAGTTGGGGTGGTCTCATCTAATGAAGTCAACACTTGTCCCACTTCTTTGTCACCCAATGCTATACAAAAAACTCAGCAATAGGTCCATAAACAGAGTAAAAATAAGTAATACTGTTTAATTAATATCTATAAATATAAATAAACATTGAAGTCTGTCTGTAGTATGGAAATAACTGGCTTATATTAAGCTCAGGGGATAAATAACCCCCTGCCGGGCTAGCATGAGCCGGAGAGAATATATCCCCGGAGAAAGGATATAATTTTTATCCCTTGCTTAGTTTTATCCACCCTGCGAGCATGGGCAAGTGACAAAAATTATATCCCCCATTATATCCACTGACAAGAGATAAAATTATCTTATCTCTATAGTATATCCCCGTTTGACATAACGAGTGGACATATATCTCCCCGTCCGTAGCATGGGGCCAAGGGAAAGAGAAAAAAATTATCCCTTTTTTGACATTTGAAAGGGACAATTTTATCTTCTTTCGCGGACGTGGGTTTAAGTTTATCTTCAAACCATTTTAATACAAAAAAAGATGTCTCGAGCCTATTGCAACTACATTTTCGTGTCAGAAATTGAAAATCAAGTAAGAGAATTACATCAGCGATCGATACGTGATCAGAATACTTAATCTATTGGAATTCTCCGACAACGAATTTCTACGCCGGTTTCAGATGCTTAAAGAATGTTTTGTATTTGTGTAAAGAACTCTATGAGGCTTTAAAGCCTATTAATTCTATGGATGGATACCAGTGCATATTGAAGTAAGCATTTATTACAACCACCTTGTCCAAAAAAGTCTCAATAGCTCAATGCCATGATTTAATTACATAGGTTGTGTCAACAACACCTAAGGCGAGTCCATGTCAAGTCAAATTCAAAGTCAAAGTCAAATTTAATGATAATAGAATCGGTCTATAATTACTATATTTTAGGTAAGTATTATAACGTTTTAAAATAAAGTTATCAAACTTAGTAAAGTTACAATTCTAAGGTTTAAATTAAGAAATATGTTAATTCTTTAGCAAAGCTTGCTAAATATACTATACTCATGATTATAAAATTATTTATTCCTTGTTTTGTTTGAAATCATTACATTTTTATTCTTCATGCTTCATCATTTTCAATTAAAATTAAATCTTTGTGACTTAGAGTAGACATCAATTTTGATGTATTTTGTAATTTTCTTATAATGGCAGTAATTGCGGGGATATATTTTTTTTTTAATTTCTTCAATAGGTTACACCACCTCCAAAGGGTCTGTATTATCCAGTTTCACAATTGGCTTAATTCTAAACACATATTTTTTTAATAAATGCTATCACAAGCGAAGTAATACCTACGATTTGATACAAGCAATGTATATTTAACTTGAATATTATACAAAAGAAAATAAAGAAAGAATTAGAATAATAGAAAAAATAAAAACAAGGCTTACAACGCTTAAAATAAATATAACAAATATTATAAATGACATATTGTTTAACAAAAATTATGAACAGTTTAGCAATATAATAAACAAAAGGTAAAAGAAAATATAAGTTAATGTAAATCTACTTAATCTTAAAACTAGTTTATAGCTAGTATAGTTTATAGCTTTATGCTATGGTATATTATCTATATTATCTACTGTCGATATTATATCCACCATAGGCCCATGCTCACAGAGTGGATAAAGCTTTGACATAGGGATAAGACAATTTTATCCCTTGTCAGTGGATATAATCGGTGGATAAAAATTTTATCCCCTGCTCATGCTAGCCCGGCTGAGCTTAAAATAAGTAGAGAAAAAAAGTACTTTTTAAAAAAAATATATAAATTCACCTGAATCCCTCTTCAGCAGCGGTGGTTTCGTGTTGGGCGAGGATTTCTCTGAACTAATAACGCCCCCCGGCCCCACTTGCGGATACGTGTACTCGTGCACCTGTAAATAAGGAATATAAAACAAATAGTTATATACAATAATATCAGAGTTTGAAATAACCTAAAATGACACGTATTGATCATGATAACATCCATCGGTGTGACAATACTTATTGAAAGTCATTTTAACGTTTAATTTACCATTTATTCGGAAAATACCTCCGTCCTGGGAAGAATCAGCAAAATAGACATTTCTTTGACAAAAGAACAGTTTCCAATAATGACTTAGTAACTGTACAAATCATATCAGAAAACACTTGCTAGATACAGATAAACATCATCATCATCATAATAGCCCTTCACAAGTCCACTGCTGAACATAGGCCTACCCCAAGGAACGCCATAAAGCACGGTCCTGAGCCACCTGCATCCATCGATTTCCTGCATGTCTTACCAGGTCGTCACTCCATCTAGTGGGGGTCGCCCTACACTACGCCTACCGGTACGAGGCTGCCACTCGAGAACCTTTTTTCCCCATCGGTTGTCGCTTTTTCGAACTATATGGCCGGTCGATTGCCACTTCAGCTTACTAATTCATTGGGTTATGTCGATTGCCTTGGTTCCACCGCGGATATTCTCATTTCTAAGTTTATCACGCAGAGAAACCCTGAGCATAGCCCTCTCCATAACTCACTGAGTTATGGAGAGAGCGTCCTCACAGATCAATAAGTCATCCCTGGCAACACGCACTAGTTGTACAATCCTATTTCAAGTTTTATATTGTGGTATACCTGACGAGATGTGTTGTAATTTCCCGATCGTTGGATTCTTACAGATGGATGTACCGAAGTTAAATTTATAATAGGCCTTATCAAGCCATGTTTAACAATTTGTGAAATGAATATATAAAATTAAATATATACTCACAGCTGTTAAATGGACGTACGGACAACGTTCAGGATCGGAATCTTCAACTTTGTCGTCATATTGCACTTCGTACTGCTTTAGAGGTTCTGAAAATGTTGAATAACTATTTAGTTTTCGACATTTAATGGTAAAACGACTTCTTTATGGTGTTTAAGGCCAGCTTGAACAAAAAAATAGTATTGTAGACACAATTTTGATGCTTGAGAATTTATACGTTCTCTTGATAGTATATGCTCAGAAAAATACGACACATATAAGAAATAATTAAATTCGTAATCGAATGGATTTTTAAAATACTTTATATTACGCGAGATAAAAAAATAAGTTAAATAGCCTTTTTCAAAGTGATAACCATATAATATTTTTCGAGCGCCGCGCTTTTGAGGTCATTACGTTATATACACAAAATACTTTAGTTAAGTACACAGAGTACTTTAGCTACGTACACATAGTACTTTAATAACGTACACAGAGTACTTTAGCTACGTACACAGGGTACTTTAGTAACGTACACAGAGTACTTTAGCTACGTACACAGAGTACTTTAGTTGCGTACACAGAGTACTTTACTTAAAGTACTTTAGTTACATACACACAGTAATTTAGTTACATACACAAAGTAGTTTAGTTATGTACACAAAGTAATTTAGTTACGTACACGTAATCGCGTAAAACTCACGAGCGTATCTATTAAAAAAAGAACGAAAAAATACTTTATTTGACATGACAAAAAAATAACGCGAGATAAAAAAATATCAGAGAATTTGTGTGAAGTCAAATTAGGTCCCTATTTCAACTGACTGCGCTATACTGAATGTCAGCAGCGTAGCATGGCATAGCAACAACCTGATTTTGAAGTGAAGACCTTTTTAAGCACGTTGGACACTTTTGGGATGGAGAAAAGGCACTGAACTCGCGTGACCGTCACACTTAGATACATATGCTTTTATATACAGATGTGTATTTATAAATTTCTTTATATTATAAAGCTTTTAAAATTAAAGCTTTTAAAATTTTATTACTATAATAATACGTTGTTAAAAATAATGTTGATAACAATATTTCTTAATAACCCAAAAATAATGTTTAGAAGTTTGTGAAGCTAAAACGTTTTCACTTCTGACGTACAGTTCTATGGCTGACAGTTTTTTGTTCTAAATTTTCAGTCTAGTGGTGTACAAAAAAGTTTTATGGTGAATTGTTAAAGAAGGTAGGTAGGTAGAGGTGACTGTCTCGTTGGTCAAGTAGTAGGTAAACGCGATTGCTGATTGTGAATTTCCATGTTCGAATCCTGGCTCTGGCCAAAATTAGTTATTAGGTGATTCTGTCAAAAAATTCTCAGTAATAGCATTGAGTTAGGAAGTTGGCAGTGTTTCATCCCCGTGCATCGACTCTACTAGACCAAAGCCGAAGGGTCTTGTCTTGCTCCTGACTTCTCTCCCGTCGTGTCGGTTTACCGTCCCATCGGACTACGACAGTAAGGAAATAGAGAATGCACCTGCGCCTGCGCATACACTCGTGCAGTGTAATCTGCATGAGTGTATGCGCAGGCACAGGTGCAGATTACTTAGTTTCCGTTGAAATCTAGCCGCTGTGACAATTCGGTATTAAGGACATTATTATTATTAAGAAGTTAGATGCTCACCGGACAGCGGATGCTGCGGAAGCTGCGTGTGTCGCGGCAACGTGATGGCGGACAGTATGGGAGTCTGCGAGATGTCGGCCCGCAGTCTGCTGCCACTCGACGTGTCCGAACTGGATCGGGACTCCGACGGCAAGTTCAGGCACTGCACAGTAACAATATCTATATATTAATACGTGAAAGGAAAAACGTAGGCCCCCCTCGTATGCAATACTTGCCATAGTTACCACGCTTGGCAGGCGGTTTCGTAATCGCAACTTTTTTTATAATTTTTTTTTTAAATAAAAATACTTGCTCTTTTATGTGGTAGAGCCACGTTGTAGCTATATTATAGTTGTAGCACGAATGGGTCGGCTCGACTGGGGCAGGACCACACTTTCACAGAATACCAGCGTCAAATAGCAGCTTAATGCTGCTGTGTTTTGTAAGGTGAATGTAGAGAATCGAAGACGCTTTTTTACTGGAATCGAGGCATTCCATCTTAGTCCTCAGGGGTGACAACGCATTTGAATTTTGATCCTAAACTTAGGATAAATGTGGATGTCTATGGGCCACAGCATCCACTTACCATCAGGTGGACTGTGTGTTCCTTTGTCACCCAATGCTATAAAAATACAGCAATACTCACTTTACTAATATTCCCTTAAACCACTCCTGGTAAGCTTAAAATACTTATTTTAGGAGTGGTTAACGACAGTAGTCGAATGACGGATTCGAACCCACGACCTTTTAAATTCGCGGTCCTCCCTCTGCCATTAGGCTACCGTCGCTTAAGGGGAAATATAATTTCAAATGGCTTAGCAAGATCCTCCGTTATGCCGAAAGTATTGCAGCATTAATTTTGAAATAAATATATGGTAAAGCTGAGGATTAATGTTAAGGTTTATGTTAGACGAAAACACGATTCCGTAAAATTTTCTCGATAGAAAAAAAAATCCAAAGTTACCTCCAAACTGAACAATAAACCGCTGTTATTCATAAAATACTTTAAATAAGATCATGAAACTTTGCATACTAACTGAACTAACCATAATATATTTCTCATATATATTTTCACTGTAAAAAGAAATTACCTAAACTATCGGCGCGTAAGCTTGGTTCCTGTCGCTCCGTTAGTATCGCTCCGGCTTTTGAAGGGAGAAGTTGTGTCGCTTACGATCAGAAAACACATTACGCAACAGGAAGACGTAAAATTAAAATGGGAAATAACCGTTATAAAAATAAGAATCGACTGGGTTGGCGTTAAGAAACAGGCATATATATGATAAACATAATGAAATAAGTATCTAACGACCTATCTACTTAGAGTATTAGTGATTACAAACATGTCGGTACATAGCATACGACGCGCGGGGAAGTGGAGGCGAAATTAGAATTTGAGCTGACTTACTCTCACCTCTTAAAGCTATTTTCTAGCAGTTATTAGAAAAACGTTGCTACCCATTTCATGGTTTGTTTTGCTCTGTCGCCTCTTACGGTACCCACGGAACGGATAGTGGATATTCTTACAATGCTACTACCCGCTTTCTCTGGCTCAGTTGTGATGGTAACTTCTATTAATTATTTTTATTTATTCATTCAATTCAATTAAATAAACACTATATTTTACGGCGTACGAGATTAAAATATCATCATGGAGACTGTGTACTCTCGTGACACCCTTATTCTACGAAAAAAAAATATGGATCTAAAACTGCTGGCGGCAGCTATTCTAAAAAAAAAACGGCTATTCTCGGAGTTTCTTTGCATGATACCACTTCGTAATGAAGATATCAGCTATAAAACCAGCATATGGTAACAGATAAGTAAGATGAAGTGGCAATGGGCTGGCTATATATCTTGAAGAACCAATAGCCGGGAAACAAAGGTCCTCAAGAACTTTTGTCTTTGTCTTTTGTGAGAAGCCTCGTACCAGTAGGCGAAGTGTAGGTCAGTCCCCATTAGATGGAGTGACGACCTGGTAAAATATACAGGAAGTTGGTGGATGCAGTGTCATGACCGTGGTTTGTGGTACTCCATGTGGGTAAGATCAATGTTCAGCAGTGTACTTGCTAAATTTTGTAATGATATCATCATTACAAAATTTCATCATATACATGAAGTCCCATAGCTAGGCACAGTCCTCCCCTAATTCCTGAATTTTATGGAGTCATTGATCCAACACGCTGCTCCTTGCAAAACTCCCTGAAATAACGAGAGTAATTTAAAAAATAATAACAAATAAACATATACGAACTTCGAAGATGTTGTTTTCCTCGTCGTCATCTTTCGGCGCTGGATTGTGTTTTTTGTACGCGTGAAGCGACGGCCACGCCCCACCCAGACCTGGAAAGATATATCTTATATGAAAACATAGTTATGGAACCAGAAAGCCATAGTTATAAAAAATACTCATAGAAATTAATGTTAAAATAAACAAAGTTAAAGTTGCTCTCTCTTTTTACTAAATGACATTAGAAAGAGATATGTATAGAGATAATTGAGCGATAATTAACCATTGTAAGGTCGATTATTATCCTCAAATTACTTATTGAGTCCTCAAACCACTCTCTGAGAGATTCTTCAAAGCCTCAGAGTCCCATTCAAATTGCCTCATTCGCAAGGCAGCTGCCTATGCAGCCCCTCTTCGCACTCGGTATAGTGTCCGCAGGTCGAGAAACTGCCTCTCGGACCCCCCCAACAAGCTTCCGGCTGACCTGAACTGCCTCCTGGCGGCTCAGCCCGAGCCTATTTAACTCATCTCATAATCTGCCTTGGTTAGGCACACTTCTACGCGGCTACTGGCCGCTTGGGTCCTCCTTTCAGCCAAGGAGGGTCGAGTCCGTTTACGGCTTAAAGATCTCTCGCTAGATCATTAAGCCAATCCCAAAAGGCGGTGTTTAGTGGGTAAAAGTCTCCACATAACCACGCAGCCGGCTGCGTGGTATGCTATGAGCATTCTCCACCTCTAACCCCTGTTACCGGAGGGTTGCCATTATTTGCTTCGGGCGCAAAAAAAAATATTAACTAATTTTTATTTTATCGTATCAGGGTAACAAACACACTGTCCACTTGGTGAGTGGATGCTGTAGCCCATAGACATGTGTTGCCACCTTTGAGGACTAATATGATTGAACCGACGAGTATGTATGTATATAAATTATATGGCCGTAAAATAAGCGAGCGAGATGGAAACAATACAGTCATGCGTTATTTACATATATTACACTGTGCGGTGTACGCATTTCCTGAGTTTACCTTGAAACACATTCAAGTTATTGCAATTTTTTTATGTCATTTGGTAACCTATTAAACATCCGTGCTCCTTCAAACAATAGAGTTTTTGCTATAGTTCGTACAGTCACTATTTGAAGTTTACTTTTATTTCTAACGTTGTGTCATTGTTTTTTTTTATGTAACTATGCTGTTACTGGGTATACGTTCGATTGAATGAAATTTATCGTAAAGTTTTTTTTTTATAAGGACACAAGTGCAAATTTATAGTTGCGTAAGACTTATTTTTTAAGTATTGTAATTAGTTTTTCTTATAAAACTTAAGTTGACAATTCACATTTTTTACGTGGTAGAGCCCCGCTGCAACTATATCATACTTGTAGCAGAAATGGGTTGGCTCGACCGGGGAAGGACCAAAGTAAAGTAAACCCACAGCCTATATACGTCCCACGACTGGGCACAGGCCTCCCCTCATTTCTGAGAGGGTTTTAGGGCAAGGAAGTGTCCGCCGCGCTGCCCCAATGCGTGTTGGCGAACTTCACATGTCTTCGAAATATTTTTTTTTCTTATTCCTCAGACATGCATGTTTCCTCACGATTTTTTCCTTCACCGCCGAGCACGTGGTAAATCAGCACTTAAAACTGCAATTAACAATTTCATTGGTGCCGGCGGGGATCGAACCCACCTACGGCTCACTAATGGCTCAGTGGGAAGGACCAAGCTCTTACAGAATACCAGCATAAAATAGCAGCTCCATGCTGCTGTGTTTCGTAGTGAGTGTAGAGTACCGGATACCCTTTATCCTCGAAACGAGACATTTCATCTTAGTCCTCACGATTGACAACGCATTTGCATTTTGATTGCGGGGATAAATGTGTATTTATACACTTACCATTAGGTGGACTGTGTGCTCGTTTGTCACCCATATTATATTTAAAAAAATATTTCCTATTATCTACTCTTTACCCACACCTATGGAAGAGATTAAAGTACTAAAACTTATAGAAATTTTTACTCACCGTGTAGGAATCCAGTATACGGTAGAGGGAAGGCAAAAGAAAGCACATTAGATAAATTAGTTCACGTTTATGCACGTAGAAATAAAGATTAAATCCCTCTAACACCACTAAAGATGTGTGGGGTTTTGTTCTGATTTGAAAGAAAGAAAGAAAGAAAGAGATATTTATTTGGCCATTTCTTAACAAATTAGCAATAAATGCTCAAACTAAACATTATGTTTAGGTATTCTTATAAGTAGACTTATACACTTGCAATGAAAAATAAATGAAAAAAAAAGTGAACAGCTAACTTAAAAAAAAAATTTAAATGGGAAATGGTCCAAATAGGACTGCCACTCAGGAAACGCTAAGATGTGTCATCCTAGCCCTGATTTTCAGTGGCTACCTTAAGTACATTATATAGATACACACACATATAATATTTATATATATATATACATAGATATATATACACAATTAAAAAATGTTCTGTTTCCGGAGGCAAGCACTTTTAAATTTACAATAAACTTATCGTACCTAATGTATATCTTTTCTCAGACTCCAACTGAGAACTAAAATATTGTATTTTAAATGTCTCATTAAATGAAATGGAAGAAGAAATACTCATAAATAATCTAATAACGGCATTTGAAAAGAATTAGTGTACAAGTATAGGAGTAATTTTGGAAAACCAGTTTTCATAAGTTACAAATCAAGAACTATGTGAAAGAATGATACATTCCGCTTGGCGTCTAGCAAGCAGTTCTTCCATGGAATGTTATGAAGTAAATCATATCTATCTCATATCATTATGGCAAAAAATTGGAATTATAATTATAATTTTAGGCTTGTTCACAATTATTTAATATTATTTTCGGAAAATTAAATGGCGGGCACACACAATATGAGGTTGACATTCTTTTGTATTTACACGATTTCGTAATCCGAGTTTATCACAACAATCTTATATTACTTCGGTTAAAAATTTAAAATATAATACTTTATTAAGGAAAGTTCACGTTTACTTGGACATATTTTTTTATTTTTTCATGGCGGAGGGTGATTAATAAACTTTGTGAGTTCGGTGATAATTATACCAACTTACCGTCCAATAGTTCTTCTATAGCGGTCCGAACGCCGCGGTCAAAAGCTCGAGCGTCAGCTGCGGTTTGGAAGGTCAGTCCGAAACGCTTTTCGTCGGTAACCCAGTGATGAAACGTTGGCATCACCTTGTTGTACTGGAAGTCCTTCTTGATGGTGCATTCGAGGACCACCTGGAAATACAACGAGGTTTGATACAATGAAGTTATAATTGAACGTCTAGTACTTTTATAGGTGGTAGAGCAACGCTGCATCTATATTATTGTTGTAGGACAAATTATAAAATAGCAGTTTAAGTCCTGCATTGTTTCATATGGCGAGTGTAGGGAACCAGAGACCCTTTATACTGGATACGAGGCATTTCATCTTAGTCCTCAAGGGTGACAACGCATCTGCATTTTGAATTGTAATGGAGGTTAAATGTAGATGACTACGGGCCACAGTAACCATTTTTGTGTAGGATAAAAATGTAAAACGAGCAAAGAGTCCACCAGATGGTAAGTGGTAGCAGTAGCCTATTTTTTTTTTATAGAAGAGGGGGCAAACGAGCATGCGGCTCACCTGATGTTAAATTACTACCGCCGTCCATGATCAACCACAACACCACAGTACCCTTTCTTGAAGGTCCCCAGGTCGTATCGGTCCGGAAAAATCGCCGGTGGTAAACTATTCCACAGAGAGGTTGTACGTGGAAGAAAACTCCTTGTGAAACGTACAGTGGTGGACCGCCAAGCATCCAGATGGTGTGGATGGTATCGGGACGTTTGACGTGTAGTGCGTTCACGAAATTTGGCGGCTGGGATTAATCCGAACAATTCCTCAGAGCACTCCCCGTGATAGATGCGATAAAATACGCAAAGAGATGCAACATCTCTTCGCAGCGCCAGTGAATCGAGCCGATCGGAAAGCACTCGGCCGTCGACGACCGAGTGCTACATTAATTTAAACACACATTAAAATGGTCTAATTTACTGTGTATAGGCTACTGCTTCGGGTATTCTGCGAGAACGTGGTCCTTCTCCGGTCGAGCCGACCCGTACTACAACTATACTACTAATAGGACGTCTCTACCACATATGAAACTCAATTACCATAAGAACAGCAAGTAATTTGTAAAATATTCTATCATACTGATTAATAATTTTTTTAACAAATGTTTTGTTTAATTTGTCTTCACCTAATGTGACAACCCTACCAAAAAAGAGCCGTGGTAGCTCAGATGGTTAACGCTCGCTGTAAATATAACAGAACGCGAGTAACCCGGGTTCGAGCCCCGCCGGCACCAATGAAATTGTTAATTGTAATTTTAAGTGCTACACATGCTCGACGGTGAAGGAAAACATCGTGAGGAAACCTGCATGTCTGAGGAATAAGAAAAAAAATATTTCGAAGACATGTAAAGTTCGCCAACACGCATTGGGGCAGCGCGGCGGACACTTCCTTGCCCTAAAACCCCCTCAGAAATGAGGGGGAGGCCTGTGCCCAGCAGTGGGACGTATATAGGCTGTAACTTTACCTTACTTTTACCAAAATAGGTAGCAGTTTTGCACGTTCTTATGAAGCTTTGTCTCTGTTCCGTTTACTTACTCATGTAACCACACGGTATTGTATTTATTTGTGTGACATATGATCCTTACCATGTCATCGCTGATGCGTTTTCCATGGATGTAATACTCGTGGGTTGGTGCCGACGTCGACGTGGATGTTGAATCGCCGTTGCCTTCATCGCCTGAATTTAATATAATCGGTTAATTTTTTAACTATTCTAAGTCAGTGTTTGACTACCATGCTACCTGATGGTAAGTGGTGAAAGATGGTAAAGCGCAATGACTCAACAAGCCTATACACTCTTCAATTGAAGACATTGTAATCGAATGGAAAGACAGATACTGGCAACTTATTCCATTCCTATGGCTAAAGATGAAGCAAACCGTTTGGTTCAAATTTGGGGTAAGTCGACAACGAAGGGGTGGAGAGTTGCCAAGCGTCTGGTTGTGATTGTAATGTGTAAAATGTGATTTCTGCGCTATGTTTTTTGGACTTTTATATAAGATAGTGCCTTTTTAGATTTTTTTTTATACCAGGTCTGTTCGAAGCCCGTAATAACTCACTAAATGTCCATGTTAAGCGGCTCCGTGGTGCAGTGGCTTAGCTTTGATCTACGGCGCTGAGGGTGCCGCGGGTTCTAATCCCGACCGGAACACGTATTTCTACGGCCAACAAGAAATCGGATCTGGACGGATGTCCTTATGCAATTTATAAATGTAAACTGCCTCCACAATACAGGAGAAAATCCTTGTATGTGTGTGTATGTGTGTGTGTGGTGGGGGGGGGGGGGTTTAAGTTAATATTGCTGAACAATAAAATGTCGATTACAAAAGAAAGTAGAATTATTCCATCTCATTCTCTCGAAACGGTAAAATACCAACTACCAAAAGATACTTCGTCGATAATAACTACAGCACTTCCTCTCCATATAAACTTTCACTACGCCTTATCTCACACTCCCCTAAGCGCGAATTATGCTTAAAAAGAGTTACAAAGTTTTCTTTTCACGGAGATATTATTTATTTTAAAACATTACCACACTAGGATTTTGTCCTGTATAGCGAAGGCAGTTTACATACATAAATTGTACAAGGACACATCCAGACCAGGAACAATAAAACCCAAATACTTGTTGCGATTGATGTACCTATTTCATTACTTAAACTTTTTAAGTAACACATCTTTGTACCTTGTGTTAATGCTTGGGAAAAAATCTCGAATTCTTTAACTCGAAATTTTTGCCTTGAAATTCGAGTTCTCGAGATTCCTCAGCACCTGTATTCCCAAATAAAGAATTGATTGATGGTTGTAATGAACACTGTGCACAGACCGGAGGTGCGGTGGTGGCGGCGCTTGCCGACCATGACGTCGGCCAGCCCGCCGCCGCCCAGCGCCACCCAGCCGCCCGTGCCCTCGTCGCGGCACATCACTTGCGCTCGCACGCGCACCAAGTAGGCACTGCAATAAACAACACACACACATAATATTCAGGTGATACCTCGAAAATTTGGTAGTTTTTCTATTTAACATATTTTTTTAAGTTTTATAGATTACAAACAAAAATTTTGGTATATGATTTTTGACTACATGACCTTGGATTGCATAAAAAGGAAAACACGATATATCATAAAATTTTCTTGATAAAAAAATTGCAAAGTAGGCTCTAATTATTTACATTTTTCCATGACACCACAATATTCTTACGAATAAGTTCATTTTTAAGGCATAGTAAATAATCATATCTAAGTTTTCATAAACCAGTTTTTTTAATACATAACGAAGTTTTGTTAAAATAAATAAAAATGTTGTTTGGCGCTTACGTAGTTATTTTCCGAGCGCTTGCTAAGTATGGCTATCTCATAATTTGCGTACTATGAAGTCATTGCATCACTTTCATTTTGACACTCCCGCAGTCGTCCGTTAGCTTCACCGACAAAGGAATAAGCCACGCCCCCAAAACTTCGATTCATTTTCAAGGTATCCTCTTAACCAGTCGTGGTATGCTTAAATTGCTTGAGTTACGAGTGGTTCAAGCCAGTAGTCGAATGGTGGATTCGAACCCACGACCTTTTTGAGTTCGCGGTCCGCGCCCTGCCATTAGGCTACTGTCGCTTCCATGTGAACTCGACCGTTACGCGGAGAGGACGCGATGATTGAATAAAAAAACATCACATGAACGTCTACGTTTTTCTACGTGGAGGAGGGTCGAAGACCGCGGTCGTGTGCTGTACCACCTGGATAAAACTCTGTCACTCACTGACGAGCACTACGCACTCAATGAGATAGCAGATAGGGATAGAGATACCATATTTTGACCCGACATGTCAGGACTTTTGACCTCTTGTCATGATTATGGTCGGATTTTTGAAATGTCAGGCTTTTTTAATACTTCAATAAAATTCAGTAGATATTTTACGTGGGAGGAATGTAATTTCCGAAGTGAATTGATCGCGTGATATAAAACCAATATTTTTTTTTCACAGTAGTTAATTACGTTTACAACAAAATGTCAGCACTTTTCTATGAAAATCAAGTTATTTGTCAGGACTTTGAATTTTCCAACTGGTAACACGAACAGCCATTTTTACTTTAGTATGAGTGCATTCCAAAAGATGTTGTTGATATTAAATAGGTGGGTATGTATGTGTAATTTAAATATAATATACCTACACTCTGTAAACACTAGCAACAAACACAAGCTAGTGATACGAGTTTCTCGACTCCACAGTCAGTAATTCATTCTTGTGGCAATGTATAGGCTATTACAACAAAGTCCCAGAAAATATACAAGGTCTCTCTATTACCAAGTTTAAATATTTAAACAACAAAGCAAAAACTGTATAAAAAGGGTTATTATAATATAAATGATGCCATGCCTTGTAGGCTGATAAATAATGAGGTGGTCGCTTCCAAGCTGTTCCTAAAATACATTTTGTAAATAGTTTGTAACGATACATATTGTAAATTTTGTTGTTCGTTCCAGGACAAAGGTTTTTTCCGAACCAGTGGTAAAGTAAAAAATGACTCAATAAGAATTACATGTTGATTAAAAATTGTTTTATTCTATTCTACTCTATAATTCTATGATATTAATTATTGCACTACTGGAATAGGTAACCATGTAATGGTAGCTATAAGTACGAAATAAATAAATTAAGCAACAATGTATGTTAGATCCGTATTGTCATTATATGTCGATACTATTTCGTCTCGTGAGTGTCGTAAGAAGCAACTATGGGATATATCATAAATACCATATGGATTCCAACAGAAGGACTAACCATGTTACCAGGCCTTAAATATCCTGCGACAGGGTGCAACGTTTGTGGCCGTGGAAGGAAAAGGGGAAATCTCTCGCCGGGCATGCCAACGATCCGTGTGATAGTTCGGAGCTATTCTATATGTACTGTTTTACTTCGGAAATTTGATAGCGCGATTTAGAATTCGATGTGTTTCGCTTGTAACGCGACGACTTTGCCCGCCACTCGTTAAAGATGCGTAATGTCCTGGTATCTCGGTACATGGCAATGCCTTTGTTCAGCGTTAGATTTTTACGTAATAATGACGAAGAAAAATAATTTGTTTTGCGAATTGTTTATTGCCGAGCTCGGCCAGGCGGATTGGCAATTGCAACACCTATTGACAAGTACCAGAACTAGATCTAGTTTTGTCTTTTACCTTCTGTAAGTCGCGGCACGTAACTCTAGCGCTGAACGAAACGTGGAGGGGATAGCTGCGAATGACGCATCAGTACGGGGGACCGATTGCGACTGGAGAGCCAATCAGCGCTTGCGAACAATGCTCACAGCCAATCATACGCAATAATGCGCAATATGGCCAATTATGCGCAATAACGGTCAATGCTAGACTTTCGTTGCGCGAGTTTTATCTCATTCTTCATGATATAATTAATAGACGTACCATGTCTTCAAGTACCGTATAGTAGCAGTTTAAGAGACAACAAAGGGAAAACAAAATCCTTTCCTGATAATAACTTAAAATAGATAAAAACGACGGTCGCCAACTCGCTTGCTAAGCGTGGCGTCTATGGCAAAATATTCTTTATGAGCCTATCTATGGGAGAGGGCGATGTGAAGCCGGGATTTATTTAAGTTAAAAACCCCCGGCTGAACATCGGCGACTTATACTTGTGGTGACTGCAGTGCACAGTGCAGTTGCTTTGCTCAGCTAGTGTGCTATACGGCCTGCTGGGTTAGCCAAGATAACATTCTATGGTAGGTAATGCAATAAGAAACAAGTCCAAAGGTTAAAACAGTAACTAAGAAACATCCAAAAACTAAGAAAAGAGAAAATTTTGATATATTCTTAATCACTTCTATAACTGAAACTATTCTAATGACTCAACCGTTATTTATACGTGGTAAAGCCAATCTGCAGCTATATTATGGATGAAGAACGAATGGGTCTGCTCGACCGGGGGAGGACCACGTTCTCACAGAATACCACCGTAAAATAGCAGCTTAATGCTGCTGTGTTTCGTATGGTGAGCGTAGAGAACCGGAGACCCTTTTACTGGAAACGAGGCATACCATCTTAGCCCTCAGGGTTGACAACGCATCTGCATTTTGATTCTTAATTGAGAACAATTGTGGATGTTTATGGGCCACAGCATCCACTTACCATCAGGTAGATTGTATGCTAGTTGGTCATCCATATTCTAGAGGTGGGTCTACGCTAGAGGAGCCGAGCACGAGCTGAGCACAAACTGAGCCGTTCTACTATCGGCGTCAAGTGTGGACGTACAACGAGCCTACGACAATCGCACTGCGAGCGCGATGCAAATCCCTTTGTGTTCGTCAAAAAACCAATAATAAGCGGAGCACAGTCGAGCACGAACCAAACGCTCGAAGCGCGCTCGTTCGAGGCTTGTAAGTCGGTGCACACTACACGAATTTGTGCTCGGCATGCTCCACTCGTGCTTGGCTTCTCTAACGTAGACCCACCCTTATAAAAAGCACCCCATATATTAAGATCCATCAAGCCAAGTCTCCTGCTATCTCTATTATTTTAAGTCAAAGTGACTGCGACGTCACGAGACTTAATGACATCTTAAAATTGACCGCCGTTTGAGTATTTGGCCAATACATACACTTTCAAAAAACATGACCCTCCTTCTGTTACAGTTGGGTAACTAAACGGAATGAATCTCGCTAATAATATAGGGAAGCATAAATGATAAAAATAATTCCATCAGTCCTCACTTGCATTTTGATTCGTGATCGAGGATAGATGTATATGTTTATGGGCCACAGCAACCACTTACCATCAGGTGGACTGTGTGCTCGTTTGTCACCTTATCCTACAAAAAAAATCCATTTCGCCTTTTGAGACACAAACAGGATGAAATACTTAGATAATAACAATAATAATAATATCTTAAGGACCGAATTTCAATCACGGCAGTTAACCTCAACGGAGACTATCCATTTGCGCAGGACAGGATTATAGTGCCCAAGTGTATGCGCAAGCACAGGTGCACTCTTTATTCACTCACTCTCATAGTCCGACAGGACGAGAAACCGATCAGACCGGAGAGATCAGGTGCGTGATTTACGGCTTCACGAACTTTCCAGGGCACGGTGGAGAAACACCGCCAGCTTTATGGATCTAGGCAGCTACTGAGAATTGCTTGACAGAAAAATTCAATAACTGTTTTTGGCCTGAACCAGGGATCTCTTGACCAACGAGGTAGTAGACTTGACAATAGGCACATAATTAACCAGTTAATTGGACACAGCTACACTACTCTGGCCTCGCCGCCCTTTACTCTGCTTCTTTAGGTACGTTCATACAGATAGAAGTTTCAAAAAATATTAGTCAAATTTTTCGAATACAAGCTTTAAAACAATACGTAACTCAAACAGCAAGTGTTGCAATATTCTAAATTTAGCTGCATAACAGAGAGTTAACAAAGTTGGCAACATTAAACTGTTTCATACAAAAGGTAATTTGATGCCCGGGGTGTGTTTGTGGCAGCGTCATACGAGTAGCTCGTAGTTTGTACTACCTATATATAATTTCAGTTATTTTGAAATTTCACATATAGGATTATCTAATTTTAACTTTTTAATTACCGACGTATCGTGCGCTTTACAGCACCGATAGTCACGGACGTGGGAATTGGTTATTTGACGTCCTGACGTCATAGTTAGAAATCGAAACCCACCATCTACTACACCATCATCAAGCTTGTTGTGACTTACGCCTGTGAAACCTGGACTTAACCCAGAGAGACGAACTGAAACTTGCCGTGTTCGAAAAGAAAGTGCTGAGAAAAATCTATGGCCCCATAAAAGAGCGTAACGGTATCCATCGTCAACGCATGAACCATGAACTGGACGCACTTATCGGGCACGAGAACATCGTCAGGTTCTGTAAGTCGCAGCGACTGAGATGGGCGGGTCACTTTGAAAGAATGCCGGACACAAGAGCCGTAA